AACGATGATGGCAACAAATGTACAAATGTGCTTGACACAATGGATGTATGTATGGATTGTGATAAGAGTTGTATGAGCCCCCAATAAAATGATTAAATTTTTTTTCTTACAATCTAAATTCCCATCGATAGATGAGTGAATTAGAAAACTCTGGCACATGCACACAATGGATTGCTACACATCACTAAAAAGCACTGATGATCGCATGAAGCACATCACCTCATGAGAAGAGTAGAGGGAAATTATGCTAAGTGAAGCTAGCCAATCACAAAAGGACAAGTACAACATGGGCCTATCTACTTTTTCTTTTTGTTTTGTCTCCATTATTGATGGTTTTTCCTACCTATAAAGATAGGCATGGGAAGCCAGCTCAAGGAGAGGCAATGGGACTGACTGATGGTTCAGTAGGGACTCAAGGGGAGGATGAGGTGGGGGAAGGGAGCATCGAGCAAACAATGCCACAGACAGGAAAATAACTAGGGAATTAAAATCAACAGTGAGAAGGACATAGAGATCCTGGGGGTGTTAGAGCAACAGCAATCTAGCTGAGAGGAAGTACTAAGAAGCAGAAACAAGAGGAAGGTAAAAGAAACAGGAAAGATCAAGGAAGCAAAACTATGGATAAAGGTATAAACACCGGAGTGCACTTATGTAAATATATTAATTGGTATATGTACATATGTTTATATGGCAATACATTGAGGAAGTGGACAGAATTTGGGCTTATGCCCAAGCCTTCTCTCAATGCAAGAAAACTTTGTTCTAATAACATGACATTCTGTGATGCTCACCCTCCCGGCACGATTGCTGAAGACAAAGTAGATGCACAAGCAAATGTGGTGAAGAAAGCTGATGGTGCCCGGCTATCAAAAGATATAGCATCTGGGATCTTGAAGGCTTGAAGTTAAACAAGCAGCCATCTAACAGAGAAGCATCAAACCCACATGGAAGAAGTCTACCAGCCTGTGAGATGATGAGGTGTTGATGGGATCAGGTAACAGGCATTAGAAGACCACAAACAAAAAAATAAAACATTGTTGAGAATGAGGGTGGTCAGAGCAGGGACCCAAAACCCATCTGTAGACAATGGGACATCCCTTCACAGAAGGGTCACAAGGAAGGGATGAGTCAACCAGTGTGAAGTATAGCACCAGTGAAACACACAATATTCCTCTGGTTCCTTGAGGCTTCCTCACCTCCCACTATCATGACCCCAATCCTGCCTTGCACTGCGGGGTAGGCAGGGGCATGGACACAATTGATGTATGGATTGTTATAAGAGTTGTAGGAGTCGCAAATAAAATGTTCTTTTAAAGAAATTTTTTTCGGTCAACAGTGATTCTAACATTAAA